CCTACCTTTGCATTGGTGTCCTCAGACAGATTGTCATTACTGGCTGAGATGTCCTTTAGATCCTGAAGCACACAAGAATGCACAGTAAATAACAAATAACATAATAATACACAGTTTAGCCAGTTAGTCATTAGTAGCATTTCCTGCATGAACCTCCAGTGAGTGGAGGACATGTAATAAAAGATTGTGTTTAACCTGCGAAGGCCTCCGCACATGTCTTGGTTTGGGAGATAGTTTCCGTGATCCACCCAGCTCACCTGATTTATCCTGAAGAGAAATGTACAGAAAAGAATTTCAAAACATAACACTAGGTAGGAAATCCACAGAGATTACATGAATTTTGATAGTTGTTTTTCTCTGTGAAGTCCAACTAAAACCAAATCATTTATAGGTATTAAATATTTAACAGTCCAGCTTAATGATTGGCTAAAAGCAAATCATAGCAGCAGCTATTTTAATGAACCACATTGCAATTATTTTTAAATAATGTATTTTTTTTTTACTCTGTTGCATTGTAGCTTTGAAGATTTTCCCCAGTTACAAGCATTTAGTGGAGTTTTGTAGTTATAGTTTATACATATATAAGATCTGCAGATAGTTAAATAGGGACAGGATTGAAAACTAGCAATTGCTATAAATTCTGCACATCATCATTTCTATGCTTATGTTAAAATACAAGCAAAATTTGAATTAAAAAATATGTATATCACAGAAAGAGAGCAAATTTACCTTTGACTTGCTGGTTAAACTGTCATTGCTGGCAGACAGTTCAGGATTTTGTAATGTCAAGGCAGCCTGCAAAAACAAAAAAAGGTGTTTTTGGTTATATGAAACTAAGGAAATTAAAGCCACAAAGGCAGAAAACTGTTATTCCCTGTTATCTTATAAATATTTAAAAACATGACCAACAAAACAAAAAGAAACCTGAAGCAAAAGAGGAAACAAACAGGAAAATATTGCTTTTATCAATGCATGTGGTACTGATTATCCAAACTTACTGTTAGGGCTTAATCATTTTTTTCATCTGTATACAAACTTAAGAACTACTTTTGGTTTAGAGAAAATTCCTGTGGGATAATTTTCATTACTTGTTTGGGACATTCATAACATAAGGTTTTGACTTGACAGGATTTGCATTTGTAGTATAATGTCATGTCTGATCCTCTTTGGCAGATTTTAGGCATTCCTTTAAGCATTCCAGCATAATTACAACCACAAATATATCATTAATTGGAGATACAAGTATGTAAATTATAAAAAAAAAAGTTGCTTTAAATTTGATTACAAATACATAAATTTGACTGTTTCAAGTTAATTAATTAAAATTAGTTACAGCGAATTGCTGCAATCTGTTGGAAGTCAGTCCTCGATCCAAGCTTTTGAAAAGACAACAAAATTAATAAAATAAACAAATAAGCATAATAAGGATAATTAAAGCCGCAACATTACCTGTGCAGATGGAAGCAGTTCTTTAGACTTGGAGGATTTTTTGAATATCCCACTGAATAATGAGGCTTTTTGCTGATTGAAAATTAAAAAGAGAGACATTCATTTACTGAAATCCATCTCAAAGAAACATTGCCATTAAAAGATGTAAATCTGCAGTTAAAAAAATGCCTCGCTGATTACAGCTCTGCTCTCAGGACTCAAAACTGAAAAGATTTTTTAACTAATGCAATTGTTACTAATGCACTTACACATTTTAAAGATCTCACTCCAATCTCATGTTTGAATTTAAAATCTGGAATTGAAGCTGATTTCATGTCTGGACTTGGAAAACATCATGAGTGATTTTTGTATTTACAGCATGTGTACGTACAAGTTAAAAGTGGACCACAATGCTTCTGGCTTCCGACCACTTAAGTGAAGCAAAGTCTTCCTTTGGGCCTCACGGTAAATTTGCCGAGCAGCTCAGACATAATCAGATTGTTTAATATTTATTCCAGTATATTACAGGTGACATGTCAGAGAAAAGTTATTCATTTTCTGTGTTTTGAACTACTTTGTTTAGTACAGAACTTCCTACTGTCCAAGTTGTGTATTACACTAGTAGCACATAAAACCATAAAAGTGTCAAAAATCAAATATACTATAAAAAAGGCTTTGATTTTGAAAGAAAAAAGTAATAATAAACAAAAGAATGAATAAATTACTAACAGTTTTTGTTATAAGTTTAATTTATTTTAACTTAAAATCTTTATTAAGTAATTTGTATGTATCTATATCGAATATAATGGACACGCATGTGCTAGTACATTAAAGGCAAGGCAAGGCAAGTTTCTTTGTATAGCACAATTCAACAACAAGGTGATTCAAAGTGCTTTACAGAGACATTAGAAACAAAAACAAATAAAAAGCATGATTTAAAATTGATTAAAACAAGCAAACAAACAAACTAATTAACAAACAAACAAAACAGTATATAAAATCAAAACAGATAAAATCAGAACAATTAAAGACTAGAATGTGAATGTACTACAACTACCGGTATATCTCAACCAATCGTGGGAACATGCACAGTCACTGCCCCAACTTGGAGTTTTGAAAAAGTCCGATAAGGAAAATGGGCATTATTTTACACAATAAAACGCTAGAGTCTGAAAACAAATATAGTGCTGGATATGAGCCCAGTGGATCTACTCGAATGTTCTGGCTGAAGAAAACAGCAGGCCTGGAAATATTCTTCTGCGTCACAGGAAAAAAGAAAAAACATGTTTGTTCATTATTGTGAATGTGCTCTTTGTAGATTAGTTGGGGCAAGGTCCTTCTGGGCAAGTCATGCCGTCTTGGTGACACATTCAGGCAGTTATTTATTCCAGAGGGAGGATATTATTCCAAGGTCAGCTGTTGTAAGAAACTGGCTTTATTGGGCATGACGCAGGATCATGTATCATACAAGTGCCACCTTTTGTGATAGTCACCATAGATTTGGACTGCTATTCTTTCAGTTAAACATCACTAGTTTAGTGAATGGTACATACTCACTGGGGTAATGTTAGAGGACATTTAAACCAACGTCTCATAATTGTAGGATCAGGGCAAAGAATTGATTTAGAACAGTATCACGATATCTTGCATGGAGATATGGTATTGATGCAGGGAGACCAAACATCAAGATTTTATTAAATATATTAAAATAGTACTCTGTGGATACTACGAACAAGAGGGCGCATTTTGGCTGACAGACAACTGGTTGTATTATGGTCATATTCCCATAGAACAGAAAGGTTGCTGTGTACAAATACGACAATTCATGTGAATTTCTGTTAAATGCAAATTTATGTCCACATAGCAAGATATGATTTTCAACAAATAGTTTATATCTAAATTATCAGAAACAGATTGTATGCAATTGCCAACTTGACCCTGTTCAGTTGCAGACTGATAGCAGACTACTGCGTCTTGGTGTGCTTAACAATCTCTCATGTAAAAAAGTGAGAAAACTTTTGAATTAAAAAAAACCAAAAAGAGCTTTGAGCAACCTAAGCAGATTTTCTTTTACCTTTACTCACTATTTTTAATGAGTTTTATTAGTTTGTCCGGACAAACCTTAAAAGTATGGAAGTTTAACAGTGAAAGGCAGAGTTAACGAGGGACCCGGAGGGTTATTTTCGCCTTCGATCAACCCGAGTAAGTTACAGTCGCTTAAAAATAAACCATTAAAGTAACCCGCAGGCGTTACTTTGCGATGTCTCTTTGCGATGAAGAGCCAACTTGAACTCTCCGCATACTTATGCGTCTGTTTGCGGTCGCAGTTTGTGGTAAAAGTCAGTAAAGTGTTGAACATGCTTACCGGCTGACTTCAGGAAGAAACAAAACAAACGTCGACAAACTAAAGTTGTACTCACAGAGACAGCTCCTCCGTCACACTCCAGGTCCAAATCAAGGTTACCGTACCGCTCCTGTAACAGACAGGGGGTTACATATTTACTGTATCAACGCTATTTTTATAAAGGCGTTCACCATAAAGGGCGAGACGTGTAACGGCCACCGTACCATTAACGTACAATTACAGGGAACTGCTGTCTCCCTTACGGTGAACTTGTCCCGTTTGTTGTCAGAGGTTAACGGATATAAATATAAAAGTCCCGCTCCTCAGAAGGACTTTGTGTCCTCTGCTTATTGATACTGTCGGTTGTTTTCACTCAGCGAGCTGCGCAGGTCAGGATCCTCCCTCCTTTGTAGGAAAAAAAAAATTACAAAGCAGAAGGAAAAAGAAACTGGCTGGGAATACTTCCCCCAGATCTGGGTTATCGCTTGAAACTGGCGGAGGTTGTCCGCTTCACCTATACCCCGTGGTCCAGGTGAGGGTGAGTGATCGTCTCATCTGGGAGCGGTCAACCCGATTCGGCTGCATTCGGGAGCAGTTCGGAAATTCCCTTTACAGCCTTAGGGTATAAAAATACAACTAGAAGGATATCAGCAGGTTAAGTACTTAAGTTAATGTCTCTCAAATAATTGTAAAAAATTGTCTGTGTACTAAAAATAAAAGCACCTATTATACTATCAACAGCTGCGGCAAGCACGCTTACTGTACATTTTAACCTTTTTCTTAATCAATATGTGACATTTAAAGCTACTTCAAACAATGTTTGGCGTTTTAGAATTTGTGTAAATTTACACAAAATCTAGCTCATTAAATACGGTGCGTTTTTTCCAAACTTAAAACTTAGATACATTTAGAGAAAATCCCTTCAAAAAGTATAGTCTGTGTTGAAAATCATTAATACCGACACCATTTTTGATCCCTCTATATACTGACTCTTTAAGGAAGTCAAAAGAAGTCACTGTACAAACATTAATGTTGGAATTTTCATTAAAACGTGAGTAAATAAAATGTGGGTTTTTTTAAA